CGGGAGTTACTATGCTTAGCTAGGTAGATAATGTTTGAGGGAATAAGATTGTCACTAAAGGGAACTAAGGATGTTAATTAAATTATAATTAAGTGAATCGATATGCAGTAATCATGTTCTTTGGGGATTTGACAAGTTACCGGTATACGAAATATTTTTCAGAGTTTATTTAAGCAGAAAATGGTGATCTGAAGACTCTCGCCTCACGATGGTTATTGACGCTAATCATAATTCTAAGGGCCAAACGTACGCTTTGGTGTCCCATTCGGGGTTAAAATTATTTTTTGGAAATCTCTAAATTCTAATTCATTTTAAAGTGCTTTCGCTGTTATTAAAATTAATGACTAGTGTTTACTATCTGGTCTTGCCGCAGCTTTCGCTTGTTGGTTCATACCTTAATTAATTTCCCACTTTCGTGGCAAAACTACTTTTAAATAAGTTCTCGCTTTCGCGACGAAGTTTATTCAGTAAATTAATTTAAACACTCAGACCATAAACAACTTTTGAAGAAGATAGTTTTCAACCGGTTATTATCAAATCCCTTCTGAATTATTATTACATATCGATTACTTTGATTTAGCTAGACATGGATTTGGGAAAGGTAAAACATAAATAAAAACAATAAATAATAGCATGCATCATAATAAAAACTGGAATTACAATTAAAATGAGAAACCTATAAATATTCGAATTGACCTTTGGGCAGATCCTCCACAAATGTTGGCAGGATTCTGGTCTTTGTGCCAATTGATCGTACAACAGAAATAAGAATTATAGAAGGAATGAAATGAATGCAGAAAAAGAAAAGAGAAACAAATAAGAATAGAAAAACTGGAAAGGTTGCTCTGAAAATAAATTGGCAGCACTTCGTTGTCTGAATGCGGCCCCCTTCTGAGTTCCCCTTCTTCCCCTTTTATAGAAATGGAATTCTAACGGTTATAACTTGAAGAAGGTGGACTTTGAGGCAGAATTATCAGGGAGTAGTGGTCCACTATTTGGGACTTGGAACTGCTTCTTTCACGTGCATTTGAAGTGGGGCGTTTTTCCCTGCATGACGGTCGTCACAATGTGTGACGGTCGTCACAGCAGTAAAATCAGCATTCTGCGTTTTTCATGTTGTTTTCATCCGGTTTTCGTCCATATTTCATCTGAGATTGCTTCTTTTCTTCATATTGCCTTGTTTAGACATGATCATTAAATACCTGCAAAACATCAGACAAATAACACGGAAATAACCCGAAATCGGATCGAAAACAGTTAAACTTCAGTTGAATTATGCATCAAAATATATATACGATTTCGTGTTATCAAACTCCCCTAAGCTTGAATCTTTGCTTGTCCTCAAGTAAAACAGGTAAAAGTCGGCAAGCACGAGGCAGCTTCTTCGTTCGCAAAGTTGGGAAAAACCGGGATTCTTGGTAAGAACAAAACGAGTACCATGACGACGCTGGACTACAAGTCTTCGGAGGTCTCCTTCTTATGCAAATCGGTCCCAGTCAGCTACTGTAGCTTGGTGTCAAGGTTCTCGCGGCAAGTTCGCCCTGTTTGTTCTAGCGCAATCACATTAAGCCCGTTGTCCATACACTTTCATGGCGAGTCGACTTGTTAGTGAATATGATCTCATTTCTGTTTTGATCTTCTTCATTGATCATAAGCTTATATCATTGATTTTTCAATGAGTTTTCGTGCCGTTGAGCTAAATGCTCGGGTGAGGAGCACCTAACTTAGAAGGAAATGTGTCTTTATATTTTTGGCTATCTAGCTTTCTTTTCATGATTTTTCATCTTTTTGGAGATCATACACTTATTTGCATCGGTCGCTCGCTTAGAAGTGTTTTAGGATGGTGCTGACTGCTAGTATAAACTACTTGGGGCTGAGTTTGCGTAGACACTTGAGACTTTGGTACACGTAGGTAGTGAAACCGACTCGCATAAACCGGAGATCTAAGGTGTCAGGAAGGTACTGGTTTTGTTAGAATTGTCGTCTCCTCGGAGTTTCAAAACTTAGTTTGAACTCGGGTGCATTCTCGTGATGCTTTTGCTTTTGAGGAACGAACGAAAATTTTTTGTTTACGTCGAATAACGTGGGGATGTTTGCGTAACGGAAAAGGAATATATAAACGAGCTTTATTTGCTAAAAATAGAAAATGTTTGAATAAAAATTACGAAATTTAAAATACAAGGGAATGGGAAATAAACACTCCGCTCCCACACTATCTCAATCAGTGTCCCCACTGATTTGAAAGAATGCGAGAGGGAGATATAACGGAAATGAAAGTACAAATAAACTGAAAATATAGTAAACAAATAAGGAAAATGATAACTAATCACGGCCTCTGCCTCAGTCACGTCCTCGCTCTCGTCCTCTGGCTCTGACTTGGGCGAATCGGTCCTTAAAACTCATAGCTCCGGTGTGGTAGACATAGTCGCGGAGTCCTTTGACCTAAACAAAGCAAAAACAATAAATATTTTAGACTACCAAGCTAAGTGTCTTGTGTCAAAATACTTGGAGTAAGGCCAGGAAAGCTCCATTCTCACTACTTCTCCACCACTTAAGGCTCGTGGCGCACAATCCTAATCGTATTTTACTGTGTTTTTGAGTTTATGAAGAAAGGGCCGTTTGACGTTAGATCAAGGGTTTTATTGTGAAAACGTTGCTTGACATTGGATCAAAGGCTTTTTAGAAATTGGTGCAAGGGAAAGGTTGATGGCGATGCATGCAGCGATCGACTTACAAGTTGGATATGACTTGATGGAGATGCACAAGGCGATTGACTTATAAGGTTTAAGAGAGAACGATGAGGTCGATCCTAGTCCTTAAGGATAGCTAGCAAGCAAAACCACAACCAATGAAAAGCGAGAAAGTAAAGAAAGTACACAAAGGATGAGGGGGGGAGTACATGAAAAATACCAGGGATGTGTGACATGGACAATTGTACTCCATATGCTTTGGTCAATCATAAAAGTCCCATCCAATGCTTATGTCAATCATAAAAGTCTCATCCAATGCTTAAGTCAATCACAAAAGTCCTTAGTCCTTTATGTATCCCAAATTTTTAGTCTTTTAAGTTCTCCCATTTTTATCATGTTTTTATTTCATTGTCCTTATCATACAAAGTATGCAAGCATAAAACAATAAATAAAAATGAAACCCTACACTATTACATGTCCAAGGGAATGGGAAGCATACAGACTTGCCGGGGGGATAAGTCCTAAACTTATACAACTTTGAAGTGAAAAAATAAAATGACAAGCTACATTTATCACACCATTTATTCAATGTCCAAAATGTGCCAAAAGACTTCCATCAATACCTCAAAGTGATACCAAAATGTTAGTGGAATATATCAAGATGCATGAAAATTACATACAAGATATTAATCAAAGTGAGGTATAAAATCACTCAAAAATAAAGGCACAAAGATATATAAATGTGGCATATAATCAACCAAGCTATATGCAAAAAATTCTAACAAAATTATGACATAAAAAATCTACAAAAAGAAAAATTCAACAAACTACATCACAAAATTCACCAAAATATATTATAAAAATTCAACAAAATAATCACAAAATATTAACAAAATAATATTGCACAATTTCAACAAAGTATAGTGCCAAAAAAATTCACCAAGAAGATAGTACAAAAATTCACCAAAAAATAGTAAAAAAAAAATGAAAATGAATTCCAAAGGAAAATAACCAAGCAGAGGGTGCAGGCCTGGATTCTGGAGGGTCCAATAGCACTTGACTAGGGCTGGGTAAGCCAAACTACTTAGTGTTGCAGCTAGGGGTGTACCAATAATATTGTGGGTGAAGAGAGTGTAGAATGGGCTTTAAGGCCCAAAACTACAAGTACCATGAAACAAGTACGGCACTGCATTGCTTCAAGGGTCACAAATTGAACTAGAAACCTCGCACTCGTTCTCTTCTCTCTCAAAGTTACATGGCAGGAAACACAAAATCTCCGTCGCGCTAGAATTCGCCATCTGCGGCGGCGGAGAACGAAAATGCACCATTCTTACACCATTGGAACTGTTTCGAGCTCCTCAACCTAAATCGCCAACTAGATTTTTTTCTAATTCCATGCCATACTTCAAATCGGACATGTATAAAACGAGAACCCTAGAATCTCATACTCAAATTACACGGCGCTCGCACCGGATAGGAGGCCAAACCACGGGGTTTGGCTCCTGAAGATTCTATTTACATCTTAGCAATGTGAATTGATGAAATTAGATCAAGAAAAGTGCTTACCGGTGCAAGAGTCGCTGGAGAGGTGAAGACGTCCAGGTGACCTCTGCTTCTTGTTCTTGCTACTTTTCTTCCTCTTTCCTTCTTCTACTTTTTCTTTTTTCTGCGTGTGTGATTCTTGAAATTGTGTTGCGATTGTTGAATTGGTGAAGGTTGAATGCGTTGAAGATTGGAGGTTGTTAAAGCTTGTGGCAATGGATTATGTTAACAGAGGGAATGTGAGGGTGATGATTGAGGGGGTGTCTAAAAATTTAAAGCTGAGTGAAGAGTGGTGAAGAGTGAATACTGAGAGAAAGATGACGATGGTGAAAAAAATGGTGATTGAAAAATGATTGGAGGAGAGTTCAATTGTGAAGATGTGATATTATATAGGGCTGAGGTTTGCAATTGTTTTGGATTGGAATCAGTTAGGGAGGTATGAAGTTTGTTATGATGAACTTAGTTAGTTAACTCACTGAGTTTAAAGGTTAGATTCGGTTAATATGTAGGTTATGAGTTTTTGATTGTTATGGATTTATGTTTGCGGCTTGTGTTTTTGCCTTAGTAGCTTGTAGTTTGGCTCATAACTGGTAGTTTCTTGCAGCTTGTAGTTTCTTGCTTTGTGGCTTATGATTTTAAGTTAGCTTTCAGCTTCTTTGTAGCTTTGTTGCTTGTATCTTGTAGTTCTGCAACTTATGTTTTGCTTCTGGCTGCGTAGTGTAACTTGTTCTTGTTTTGCACTTGTAACATAATTTTTCGTGGCTTGAGATGGCAACTTGTTTCACATCGCAACCTGTATTGTTTTTGCTTGTAGGGAATCAAGATCTTTGGAAGTGCTTTGATCTTTTTGTACCAATGTAATTGGAGTGTCCTCATTTTTGTATTTATTGTCGCTTTTTATTAAGTGACTGCTATGCGTATACCTTTGAATTGCTATGGAAGCTGATGTCGTCACATTTTTTGGAAATAGGTCTAAGTGCCCCTTCTTGCCTCCATGGAGTGTTGTACGATCACAAGTATGCAGTGGTGTATTCACTTTTGTTTGGAATCTTAATAGTGCTCAAATGGAAGTCACAGGGTAAGGTATACATGCTGATGCTTGTTGGATTGTTAGGATGTAGGTGCGGTTGGAATTAGCTTGTGAATTGTTAACTAAATTCTTGAACTGTTTTAGGCAAGTTACAAAACAGGTTTATGGATTGAGACATGAGCAAGGATGTGGCATGATTACATTGATATAATGGCTATTGGAAGCATAAAGTTACTTAAAGAAAATGGAGAGCGTGGTTGAAGGAAAGTGAAGCAAAACTTTCCCCATATGGAGAGCGTGGTTGAAAGAACGTGAAGCAAAACTTTCGCCATGAAGCCTTGTATACTAGGTTTAAGGAATTAGGCTTAGGTTTAGGAATGTGTCTTGATGTAATTTTCTTTGTGTAATGTGATATAATGGTAATGGTGGTGATTTTGTGATGACAGTGTAATGAAACCTTTTGTGCCCCTCTTGAATTTAATGACGAAACTTCATATATTAAAAACCTTTCTCCTAAATTGCATTTCTTTCCTTTCTTCTTTTGATAATGTATTGTGTAACTTTTGGTGTTAATTCAACAAGATATCTTATGTTTTGGTCCCAAGGCAATTGAAGTATAATCCTAAAGAAACTTGTGCCATAAGTCACTAAGTTTTGTGCCCCTCTTGAATTTAATGACGAAACTTCATATATTAAAAACCTTTCTCCTAAATTGCATTTCTTTCCTTTCTTCTTTTGATAATGTATTTTGATAATGTATTGTGTAATTTTTGGTGTTAATTCAACAAGATATCTTATGTTTTGGTCCCAAGGCAATTGAAGTATAATCCCAAAGAAACTTGTGCCATAAGTCACTAAGTGGATGATGTCCACAAACCCTAATTTATGAATAAAGCCCGAGTGAATCTCCTTGTACAAGAACCATATTCATGTGTCTTGGCATTTAAGCAGCAATTTATTGAAGAAGACACCCTTTTGAACCATGCTATTCAAAGCCCTGCTTGATGGATGATGGATGAAACCTTGATCCCTAGCTTGAACAGTAAGACACCTCTTGAATGATGGCTTCCTTGTATTGCATAATGAAAATATTTTTGAAACAAAATCCTAATTGCCATGAACACATCAAGGTCTCTTCAATAACTTGCACTTTAAGCAATGGTTGAAGTCTCTTGAATGATAAGATGCACTGATGACGAATTTCACAAGAAAAACTCTTAAAGGCCATATGATCAGGGAAATAACCCTTAATCAAGCGATGATGGTGAGAACCAGAAGAAGATGATGTTTAAAAAATATCCATGCCCTTTTAGATGGCACTTTGTAGGATGAATTGTGTGGCAAGCAGCCTTGAAGCCACTTCATGTGCTAAACAAAGACTAAACATTTTGAGAAGGAGGAGTTTTAGATGGAGTTAAGCTTCTGAAAATTCATCTGATGATCTTAAGTATAAGGGACAAAACCTTATTTTATGACTTTTGCATCTTTAGTTGAAACAAACCTGCAAAAGAGGAAACCCTAGTGTTTTATGTAAAGCCTAATTCTCCATGACCTCTAATCCAAGTAACAAGCCTTAATGTTAATGAATGCATGATGTGTTTGATGACCTAATGAAGGGTATGTACATAAGAAATATGAGATGCATAAGCCATAAGATTTGAATGAAAGGGTTGAACAAATTTGGGGTATGACATTGGGCAACTTCACATATAGCTTATTCTCTTGCAAAGACTGTAGTACAACTCTCAAATGTTCTACATGTTTTTCATCTATCTTCAAATACACCAAGATGCCATCAACGAATACAACAACAAACTGATCCAAATAAGGATGTAATATTATGTTCATGTACTCCATAAACACCTAGCTGATTGGACACACCGAACGACATCACTGAGTACTCAAAGCGACCATATCGGGTTATAAAAGCAGTCTTCAAAATGTCTTATGACTGCACTCAAATCTGATGATAACCTGATCTCAAATCGATCTTGTTGAACACGTAAGCACCAACCAACTGATCCATAAGGTCATAAATTCTGGGAAGAGGATACTTATTCTTAATTGTGGCCTTATTCGGTTGTCGAAAGTCAATACACAAACTTAAGCTACCATATTTCTTCTTCACCAACAACACTAGTGCTTCCCACGGTGACACGTCGGCTCTAACAAACGTTTTATCAAGAGAACCTTATAACTATTTCTTCAACTCACCCAACTTTGATGCATACATTCTATATAGAGCCATCGACACAGATCTAGTACCATGCACTAAATATATGGCGAACTTAACTTCACATTCTGGAGGCAAGTCATAACTATCTAAAGGGAAAACATCAGAAAATTCACACACCATCGACATGTCACTAGCAACAACATTGCTCTCCACTCTCAAAGAAGCGAACATCACGAGCACCTGATTATCCTCCCTCAAAAACATCTCAACTTGACCAATGGACATGAATCTCAAACCGGTGCTTTCTTCATATTTAGGAAACAACACAGTCTCAATAACACCTACATTTTTGGAATCAACATTTAATAAAATAATTCAATATAAATCGACAAATAGAGTGTTACTCATGCTTCACCAAAGCATGAAAGAACCACAAATAAAAAATTTAGAAATAAGTTGTGGAAAACCAATAAGTTTATCGTATAAATCTTAGCAATAATTGATGAGAAAGTGGTCCAACAATTCTTTAAATAAATAAGACATGCAACAAAAGAAAACATAGAACAACATGTTCTCCAGTGTTACATATTAGGGCGACTTTACTAAGACCCGAAAGATAAATATGTAAAGAGGCTTAACGTCATCCTCTAACATTAAGGATTTACTGTTGCACCTGACCATCTGTCCCCTAAAGGAGTACAAACACAACAACAAATAGAAATGGGTGATAATATGCTCAAATAAACTAACAGTGCAAAACATAGCCCGGGTAGTATCACATAAACACAATCACCACACAACTACAAACATATTCATCATTCACCCACATCACCAAATGATCACATATTTGTTTAGAACATCAAACAATCATAATGATAACTTGATCACCATGGAGGTATATATGCAAATGTATCCTCAACTTGATTTTAAATGCAAATGCGGTACCAATTATTTGGACATTAAAGGTATGTTACTTACGTTCACCCACAATTGCTCCCGATCCCATCATTGGACCAGGGCATACCACATGGTTATTGATTCGTCGCTATAGAATCAATAATGCTTCACTGATTCCCATTTATAGAATGCAGTTACTCGCTCCTCATTCCACCACTGAATCAGAGCACACCAAAATCGTTACTGATTACTAATCATTGAATCAACAACACTTCATTGTTCTCATCATAGGGGAATCAGTTACTCACTCCCGAACCCACCATTGGACCACCGAACCAAAGTTCGCACACAAATGATGCATGACAAATGTGCAATTACGCCAAATAAGGCCACCAATACGACATAACATATTCAAGCTTACATTATGACTCACCATTACATAATTTACACAAGCTTGACAACAACATACATATTCACATAGTATACTAATATTTATGCACAACAATAATTCACCAATCATAATTATGCAATTAATTATAAAACTTCACATAATTATACATGCAATTATAAACAATCATTCATGCATCAACATCAACATCAATGTCACTCCTTATGAGGTATTCATCAATTCAATCAATCATAACAATTAAAAGTTCTTTCATCATCATCAACTACCATATAATATTACACTTTAAGGAAACTTATATTTAGTCTCTTAGGGCATCACCATGAGATAATTTTACGCTTTAGCTTTCCAGCGCTTCAAACCAAATCAACCTGGTTATGATGGGTGGACCGTCACAAAGCTGTCGACCGTCAGCTCGCTGGACGAAATGACGGGCAACTTATCACAAGGGTGACAGTCATCGTCGTTGCAGAATGCAGAACTATGCATTTTTTCATAAGTGGAGGCCTTCCACACCTCCAATTTCAATTCCGTTAAAAGGCAAGTGCTTAGAATCCGACATAGAATAATTATATATATTAAACATGTTAAGTTTACACTGATTAACAACATAATTCGTCAATTACTTATAGATTCAAAACTACGTTCATGGAATCAAAACTCATCATTTTCAACAATAACAATCATACTCATGACAAATTATTATGAATAACAATTAACATAATCACAATACACAAAATTCATATTGATATCATCAATCCTAACAAATTCAACACCAATTCATATCGATGACACACAATTATCAATAATAGAAAGAAAGAAAAACCTAGAGCAAGGTAAGGGTCCATCACCGCTCTTCACACATTTAACACCCATTATTACAATAGTCCCCCCTTACCTTAATTTATAGCAAGCAAGCATTCCCTTTAATTATGGTCTTCTTCCCCCTCAAACCTTTTGTTGCTTATTTTCTCATCGAATGCTCTTTCTCCAAAATTTCACGTAGTGTAAAACTTGGCCTCCACTAATCTCTATCAATTTATATTAACCTAATTTAACACTTTTAACTATTCCAATTAAGCCCCAAACTTGCCTTAAATCTCACTGTTTTATCCCATTAATTCATTATTCTCAATCTCTACCCAAACTTTTAAAATTTCCTATTTTCTTTATTATTTTAATTAACAAAAAATAACTATAATTCTAATTAATTCTCATAATTCACTGAAAATCCCTAAAACCCCTAAACATGCAAAATACACCAATAATTAAATTAAATTAATTTAATTCAATTAAAATATAATTATAAAATATTGGTGGTGAGGCTTGAGTTATATTCCATTTAGATGTTATCATTAGAAGATCAAACTTATCAACCCTACTTAGTCTGATTACATTTTTGGCCGTTTTATTCTTGGCTTAAGTTGTTATCATCAAAGACTAGATGTTATCATCAAAAGCATGTTCCTCTTCAATTAACCAATAGCAAAACATGGTTCCACATAACTAGGGACGTAAAACTACAAATGCATAGTTCGACGTGACATGGAAAGACAACACTGTCGGGCATATCAATCTCACCACTCATCAATGTGAGATAATATATATGCTATAGACGACCACATAACAAACAAATAGAAGATCTGCGAGTGCACATTTCATTGTTATCCCCCCGAGAAAGATGTCGTCGACACTATCAGGAAAACTATGGTTGATTGTGCTAGACGCGACG